ATTGCAAATCCCCAGTCACTATTCTTACAGTCCATCGTATATAGTCACCCTCTCAATCTGCTTCAAGCCATCCTCTGCTCGGTGGGTTCCAGGGGCTTCTGTGGTGTTTATGTCAACAAACCTGTAACTCAGCACATCTTGGGTTTTTTTCTGTCTCTAGGCAGCACAAGCACCCGAAACAGCAGTCAAAAAGGAAGCAGTGTTTTGAGCATCAAGCAGAAAAGTAAAAGGGAACTTTATATGGAAAAGCTTCAAGAACATTTAATCAAAGCAAAAGCATTTACCATAAAGAAGTGAGTCCATGAAGACACTTGGTGTGGGGTGTTTTATTTTAGGGTCAGGGAGCTGATATCAATTATTTCATATAAACCAGGGGTGCAGAGCAGAGAAGTTACCTCTCTATCACAAACATCATCTGCTTAAGGCATAAGAAAATGACTTGTTATTATATTGTTCTTAATGGAGATGTAATTGACATATAAATTAAGTTCAGGCATACAATATAATGATTTGATAGATGTATACGTTGTGGGATGATCACAATAGTCAACATTCATCACCACCTGTAGTTACAGATTTTTTCTTATGATGAGACCTTTTAAGATTTACTCTCCTAGCAGCTTTGTAATGTGAAGTACACGGGGCACCTGGGTGGCTCAGTTGGTTAAGCGTCTGACTCTTGGTTTTGGCTCAGGTCATAATCTCACGGCTCATGAGTTCAGGCCCCACATCAGGCTCCTCGCTGACAGCGTGGAGCCTGCTTGGGTTTCTCTCTCTCCCTCTCTCTCTCTCTGCCCCTCCTCTGCTCTCTCTGTCTCTCAAAATAAAGAAACTTAAAAAAAATTTTTTTAATGAAATGTAAAGTGCAGGATTATTAACTGCAGTCACCATGCTGTGCACCCAGGACTAACTTTATAACTGGAACTTTGTATGCTTTGACCCCCTTCACCCTTTTGCCCAACCCTCCTTCATGGCAATCACCTATTTGTTCTCTGTATCTCTGAGTGTGGGTTCTTCATTTTTATTTTTTTTAGATTCCACGTATTAGTGATATCATATGTTATTTGACTTTCTCAGACTTGTTCCATGTGTGTGTGTTTGTGTGTGTGTGTGTGTGTGTGTGTATTCATCCCAATAATATATATACTTCATTATATACCACTGTGCAAACACACACACACACATTTTTTTTATCCATTCATCCATTGAGGGACACTTGGGGGCCATGAGTTGGCTATGATAAATAATGCTGCACTGAACCTGGTGTGCAGAGATCTTTTTGAGTTAGTGTTTTCATTTCCTTCAGATAAATACCCCGAAGTAGAATTGCTGTATCATATTGTAGTTCTATTTTTTAATTTTGGAGGGGAGCCTTCATACTGTTTTCCACAGTGACTGCACCAATTTGCATTCCCACCAACGGTGCACGAGGGTTCCCTTCTCTCCACTTCCTCACCAACATGTTATTTTTCTGTCTTTTTGTGTGAGGTAATGTATTGTTTTTAAAAATCGCTTTTCAGTGTGATTCATTTTTATATCCATTACATTTATAAACATAGGTTTCTTATTTGAATAGAATAAGTAATTTCAAGGATTCATAGTATGTATTTCCAAGCATCATCATGCTAAAACCCACCTAGACAGAGAGGTGTATGATGTCAAAGTTGGAAGGTTAGAGAAACACTCTCATCCTGGAGAGGGGAAACTGAGGTTCACTGGCACACAGCTGGTCTCCAGCAAAATGCATGAGCCCCTCCTCCAGTGCCAGGGACCTTGACAGGCAGCAGACAAGCAATGGGAATGGAGGAGGTTAGGCAAGGCTGGCCTTGAATGTGGCCTCTGAGACCAGGAGGGCCATCCAACATGAACGTGGCCTTGAATTGAAGGCAGAACCCAGAAAACAAGGAAGACAGAGCAGAGGCTGGACAGAACAAGATGTAGTCAAAAGCCCAGGGCACTATGTAGGAATCAGAAGGGGCACAGGACCCATAAAGGGGAGGAGCAGAGGCTACCTAATGTGTACAGGGTGCTCAGGTCAGACTCCAGGTCTAAGCACCATTATGTAGTCCCATCTAATTCTCACCCCAGCCCTGTGGGGTTTTACAACAGAGGAAACAAAAACACAGAGAAGTAAGTAGCATGCTCAGGGGCTCACAGGCAGGGAGTAATTGAATCAGGTGACAAACCCAACACCTCATTTCTGGGGCTTTCGACCATTCTCTTGTGCTTCGAACAACAGAGGAGGCCTGTGGTCTCATCAGCACAAGGAGGCAGAGTGCCAAGGAAGGCACTTGAATGTGTCTGCACTTGCCATTAGAGCAGAAGCCTCCCCACCCCACACCGGGCTCTGCTGGGGCTGAAAAGGGAGGTGTGACCTGCTGGGAGAGAGGGATACGGAGGAATGGAATGATGGAAATACCCGGTCATCCCTCCCATCCTGCCCCTCCTGAAGCAAGTGCTGGGGGTCTCTGTTTTGCAGGACTTTGCAAATATATGTGCCCATCAGACAGTTCTTCTACAACCTCATCCATCCAGACTACAGTGCTGTGACCGATGTGTATGTGCTCATGTTCCTGGCTGACACTGTTGACTTTGTCATCATCGTCTTTGGCTTCTGGGCCTTTGGGGTAGGTTGGGGGGTGAAGGCCACCACACTTCTAACGAGTAAGAGCGATGCTGTCCTGTGAAGTGCCACTCGTGCCTAAACCTGTTGTTTCCTTCCCAGAAACACTCAGCAGCAGCAGACATCACCTCTTCGCTGTCAGAGGACCAGGTGCCTGGGCCTTTTTTGGTGATGGTCCTAATTCAGTTTGGAACCATGGTCGTGGACCGAGCACTATACCTCAGGAAGACCGTCCTGGGAAAGGTCATTTTCCAGGTCATTCTTGTGTTTGGAATTCACTTCTGGATGTTCTTCATCTTGCCTGGTGTGACTGAGAGGTAAGGTGGAAGCCGGAGGCACGCTCCCACTTTAACGCAAATATGTTCCAGGAGGTTATCATGCCATACACATCACCACAACAAAATCACCAGGTACAGGCAGAGGCACGGCCGAACAGCACCATGGGTTGGAAAAGTTAGAGATCTTCATCACTATCAAATTCAGTGTGGCTCAAAACGTGAACTGATTCCTCAAACACATTTTCATTGTGTGTTCGTACGCATTCATAGAAATCGGGTTTTTCAGGGTGGGAGAAGTGATGACCTTGGCGATCTGAGAAAACCAGAGGCCTTCCATTGTGATTGTCTCTACCCCTTAGTAGACAGAGATGAACCAGAGATGGTCTTACAGGCACTGCTAAGAGAATGAGAGGCTCTCAGACTATGTCCTATGAGAAAGTGGGACATAAAAAGAGCAGCCTAAAGTTCAATGGGGAAAGGGCCAGTGAGATCCTTGGAGGTGGCTGTCTGCTGCCTTTCCCTGTCTCCTTGAGCTCTAAGGTCCAGTCATATTGAGGGCGCCATGTCCTCCTACACCTCATGGGACCTTGTTCACTGCCCTTCTCTCCTGCCTCCAACCCACTCTTCCTCCTCACCCTTTAGATTTCCCAGGTTGCTTCCACCAGAAACACTACTTGGGACCGAGTCGGTGCCAAACGCATGAACAAATGGATGCGCCAATGAATGAAAGAGAAACAAGGGAGACTGCTATAAATAGGACATTATGGGAACAAAGGGTGAACAGAAGGGGACATGGAAGCACCCATATAATGTAATAGGAATGATCTTTTTAATGAACATATCATTAAAAGTCTTCATGTTTTACAAGAAGCTGATCTTTTTATCATACCTCAAGGGTCATTCCTGGCCAAGCCTTGTGAATAACATGGTAATCTGGCTGGCCAATGCCATTTTCCGAAGAGTGACTAGAAAGTAATGAAAACTGCTCTCACTTATGTGGTTCATAACTTGACTCAAATGGCATTCTTAATGAGGAAATTCAACTCTCTCCTGACAATGCTTCAGCTACCTGTCTACTCTCACCTGGATGGTTAGGCTGTGACCTTTTGATTTTGGTGGCAATGCAAATATTGTAAAAGCAAAAATGGATTTAGGATATTTCCCATGAGTCTGAAGTAAAACTAAGTAAATAAAGAATTGTTACCCAGAAAAATACCAACAGCCAAGTAAGTCCTTCACACTATACTGCATATGGGGAGAGTAAACATACCTCAGCTGATAAAAATAATTCAGATTAAGGCAAGCTTTTTGTTAAAAGACTAGTATTTTGTTAAAATACTTTGTAAGGACATTGTGGATCTTATTTGTTAGTCTTTAAAGTGGAATAAATGTGCTTTTCTCTATAAATAATTCTATATACATATCAACTCAGAGAAGTAAACCACATTCAAAAGCCATGGTAGTTAGATGATGAATGTTATTTCTGTGACATTTAAGAGCATCAATGGGCATTCTCCACCAGCCTTCCTAGAAACTCTTAATTTCAGAGATGAAAGGGACCTTAAAAAGCTTTCTAGACCTGCTAACTTCACAGATGAAGATAGGTAAAACCCATACAGAAGAGTGGTGTCCCCAAAGTCACTCAGTTGGCTAGTGGTGAGACCAGATCCCAATCACAGACCTCTTGACCCTACTGTATGCTACACCCCACCTCCCATGGGGGGGGGGGGGGGGGTGGTGCTCACTACCAAGCAGATTTCTTGAAATAATACAACCTACAATTCGTTGTGCAGTTGTGAAAAGGATTTGATTTTTCCATCCCCAGAACAGAGTTCCAGAGCATGGATGTTGCCATGTCCTGATAGAAAAGTTCATAGAGACTGGTGTTTCCAGAAACAGGGCAATGGAGAAGCCATGGAGAATCCTTCAGCAGGATCAAATTACCAAATAGTTGGGTTATTCCTGCTGGTATGAGTTTCCAATTGATGCTGTAACAAATTGCCACAAACTTAGGGCTTAAAACAGAATGAATTTATCATCTTACGCTGGACTAAAATCAAGGGGTAGGCAGGGCTGCATTCCTTTCTAAAGGCTCTAGGGGAGAATCCCTTTCCTCGCCTTTTCTAGCTTCTTGAGGTGCTAGCCTTCCTTGGCTCATGGCCCAGCCTCAGTCTTCAAAGCCAACATCAGTGAGTGAAGTCCTCTTCTCATTGCTTCACTCTTTCCCTTCCTCCACCATCATGGTTCCCTCTGACCGCAGCTGAGAAAGATTTCTTCCATTAAGAGCTCATTGATTAGATTCAGCCCACCTGGATAACCTAGGCACTCTCCCTACTTCAAGGAATCTAATCTCAACTATAAAGCCTTCTTTTTCTTTGAAAGTTAACAGGGGCACCTGGGTGGCTCAGTTGGTTAACTGTCCTACTTCAGCTCAGGTCATCATCTCACAGTTCGTGAGCTTGAGCCCCACATCAGGCTCTGTGCTGACAGCTCAGAGCCTGGAGCCTGCCTCAGATTCTGTGTCTCCTTGTCTCTCTGCCCCTCCCCTACTCATGTTCTGTGTCTCAAAAATGAATCAATATTAAATAAACAAAAATTTTTTTTAAAAAATGAAAGGTAATATATTCACAGGTTCTGAGGATTAAGCAACAATACCTTGCAAACCGAATAGAGCTGGAATGTTTGTTATAATACCTGAATTAATGAAAACTTCAACTCAGTTTCTCATTTATTGAGTACCTGCTATGTCCAGGGCAGTAGACCAGGTGAAAAGGGGCATAACACTAACGTGAATAAAGCAGAGACCTATCCCCATCTGGGAAGGACCACATGATGGGATTCCAGAGATTGAGGCACTATGATAAATACTAACACTATGCCCATAGCTGCACACCTAAGACTAATATAATGTTATATTAGTATAATTAGTATAATTATATATATTATATAATGTTATATATAAAATCTCCTATGCCCTTTGTAGACAGAGGCTTATCCCTCACCTCTAGCTTCTGGTACATCCATTTTCTGTCCCTACAATTTTGCCTTTCTCAGAATGTCATTTAAATGGATCACACGTCCTATGGCTTTTAAGGCTGGCTTTTTTCACTTGGCATAATATATTTGACATTCATCCATGTTGTTGCATGTATCAGTACTTAATTATTTTTTTGTTGGTCAGTAGTATTCTATCATGTAAATGTACCAAAGAGTGTTTAAATATACAAAAGTTGAAGGACATTGGGGTTGTTTATAGTTCTTTGGCAATTACAAATAAAGCTGCTATAAATATTACCAAAAAAAAAAAAATGGCCACAGAGATCATTTCTGTCTCATTGGATCTCACTTTTGAGCCTCACCTAATGGTCATTCCTAGTGCAATGGATTACCCTATCTTTATTTTTGGATTTTTTTTTCAAGATATATTAGGATTGGTGAGCCTTGAGTCTACATTGCCAGCATGTCAGTGACAATATAATTTCATGTCATTTCAAGCCATGCTGCCATCACTTGTTAACATCCCAGATTCATTTTTCCTCCTCCAGATATTGTTGCTAAAAATTTTACTCATTACTGTGCAAAAGAAAGCAGTCATTAATAGTTATGTTATCTAAATCCTTTTCAAAACAGGAAAAGAATAAGAGAAGGAACAGATTAGGAGTTGAAACTACACAGAAAAAAAAATTATGGCTACCAGTTATAATATTCAGCATCAGGAAGCTCCAATATTTTAAATAATTCATCTGATAAGTGATTTTTTCTGTGTGTGGGCACGTGATTTATTTAGTCCACAAACTTTCAGTGGTTGCCTGTAGTCTACAAAGTGCTGTGTGGCTGGTGCCGTGGGGGACAGATTGGTGAGTAAGGCATAACTCCAGCTGCTAGTAATAAAGCATGGAGAGACCACCAAAAGAAAAAGTCCTTCACTGTGGGACAACCTTAAAGTTCCTATTAGATTTAACAGGATTACTTCAGGAACTACTGATTAACTTATTCCAAGTTGAATCACTTTAAGGTTGAAGGAAGGGAAATGTTCATTTATTTTTTCAAGTTTTTATTTAAATTCCAGTTAGTTAACATAACATACAGTGTAATATTAGTTTCAAATGTATGATTTAGTGATTTTGAAATTTACATACAACACCCGGTACTCATCACAACATGGGTTGGTCCTTTTATAAGGGATAGAAGACAACACAGTTTTATAACTTTTTTTTTAATGTTTATTTATTTTTAAGAGAGACAGAGACAGGATGCGAGTGGGTTAGAGGCAGAGAGAGAGGGAGACACAGAATCCGAAGCAGGCTCCAGGCTCTGAGCTGTCAGCACAGAGCCCGACGTGGGGCTCGAACTCACAAGCTGTGAGATCATGACCAAAGCCGAAGTCGGACGCTCAACCAACTCAACCACCTAGGCGCCCCACAGTTTTGTAATTTTGATTATTATTTTGATAGATAACAATTTTTCCTCATGCAGTTTTCATATAAATTATTTGTAAAATCCAAGGACATTTCCCTGGAAAGCTGAAAGAATGTTCTTTCTTACTATTACACCAATAGAGACAGTCCCTAGAAAGGGAGAGGGAAGGAATAGTTGATATTGGCTCTCTGTAAAGTTCTGATATGTTTATTAATAACTTGTCAAGTGCTAGATCATGGTCAAGTGTATTTAACACATTAGGACCTGAAATACCAAAGCTGGTTTCTCTACAGGGCAAGACACTTCTAAGAAATACTTTTAAGATTTCCAGTTGTTGAGATCCACGTAGAGGTCCCTAGGTCCCTGAGATACATGGGCCAGTGCATCCCCGGCTGGTTCTTAGATCTGGTCAACTAAATAGTATTTTCAGTTAAAAAAAAAAATAACACATGTCTTCTTCTAATGTCAGAATTAAAAGTTAAGATGACGAATCTGAAACATAAAATAAAGAGGAATAAAGAGGAAGCTTTAAGTGTTGCTCTTAACTTTAAACACAGGGAAGATGGTACAGAAGTCTTGGCAAAAGGGACTACCATTTCGACTGCTGAAGATGTCATTGGAGAAAAGAATGTTAGATCATGGAATCATAGATTTTCAGAGCTAGGGAAAGTCTTCAAATGAAGACAGACGTCTTGAACATGATGGCTTGAGGAACAAACGCAATAGGTTATAAACACAACTGGAACCAAGGGTGTGGAAACTTTGTTAATCCACGACCTGCCTTTATAGATGGATAGCAAAAAAGGGGGGGATTCATTCCTCAGGATACCTCCTCCTACATCTTCCAAATTACAGGTCCTTTGAAGTAAAAAAAAAAAAAAATACATCTTTTTGATGAACTTTAATTTGGATCACAGTAGCAGCATCTTTCACATTGTGAGAAAATGTTCATTAGTAAATTCGCTTAAAAAGAACTTAGTTTATTCATGGCCTAAACAACTGAATTATGCACTAACACATTGGAGGCACCATTTGTAGAATTGTTTTTAATTATTAGACTTTCTTACCCTGCTGTTTGCCTTCAAAGTGATCTACTACTAGGTGCAGAGAATTCCTTACAATTGACTGAACTGGCTCTACATGCCAGAGGGGCAATTCGACTTTTTTTTTTTTTTTTTTTTTTTTTTTTTTTTTTTTTTTTGAATCCTAAACTGGTATGCTCTTATACCAGAAGAATATTCCATTATTTCACTTTTATGTTTTTGCGCTTTAGGAAATTCAGCCAGAACCTGGTTGCTCAGCTTTGGTACTTTGTGAAATGTGTTTACTTTGGGTTGTCTGCCTACCAAATCCGTTGTGGCTACCCAACGCGAGTCCTTGGAAACTTCCTCACCAAGAGCTACAATTATGTCAACCTCTTCTTGTTTCAAGGGTAAGGAAGGACACTCTGTGTTGTCACAGTCACTCACAGAGGGGAGGCTGGCAATAGAAAGGCACTTGTTTCCTTGGGAAGAAACAGGAAGGTGAAAAAAGGCTGATGGGGCAATTTAGATCATCACAGAACTCTTAAGACTTTTGGTAAAAGACAGATACACCTCTTGAAATAGCCTTTCTAGGTGTAGTTGCCACACACCTGGTCAGCATGGAGTTCTAGAATTATCCACATGGGTTAATTTTCTATTACTGGATCCTGCATAATTACTGTGCTAACATTTCAGGATGAAAACCAGGGATACACGATCCTTAGGTATTAATGTATTTCTGGGCACAATGGAACAGAAATTCGGCATTTGTACTATTTGAAGATCCCCTTGGAATTTTGCGTATACAATGAGTTCCTCCGTTGAAGAGGGCCATTTATTCCACCTAACGTCAACCTGAATGCCACATGACTTGCTTGTCCCTGGTAGTAAGTTAGCTACTAGGCAAGGCCTATCGGCTCTTCCGTGTAAGAATTTCGTTGGTAGTATCTCCTCTCTGTTCCAATGAAGATCATACCACAGCCCGGAAGGTGAGGCTGCTCATGGCACCGCTGGCTCCTTGGTTGTACCAGACCTGGCGGCAGGTGACTTAGTCACAGAAGAGGTGTTGAGTGTGCTCGGTCAGTCACTTAGTGGTGTTCTGTGTGTATGGCCTGATATTTCTTCAATGGGCTGGATTAGTGTTCACTTGGCAGAGCTGAGTGGCCTTGGGGAGAATTTCCGAGTATAACCCAAGCTGCTCTGAAGAGCCTAGGGTGAACCTAGGTCTCCAGCTGGGAGAAGCTCTGTGTTAGTCAAGAAACAGGGAATAGTTCCTAGGCCAGAGAGGAGCCCACGCCAACCCATTCCCAAATATGAGAACGTAAGGCCAGAATCTTATTAACCTGAGGCAGCCACTCAGTCCACCATCTACTAAGTCTACTGTGTGCCCCCAACCCCATGTCCTGCTCCCTCTGACATCTCTCATCTCCCCTCAGCTTTCACGTATCAGCTGTACAACTTTTCCTAGCTCATTCAACAGCAAAACCCCAGTACTCAATAATCCCGCGACCGACAGATTCTCATAACATAAACACATACACGTATTAAAATGTAAAATGATGGGTCTTTTTGCAGAAGATATTACCTTAAATGTAGAAAATCCTAAAGAATCAACCGAAACACGGTTGTAAGTAATCAATTCATCGTAAAGTTGCAGGATATAAAACCAACATGCAGAAATCAATGGTGTTTCCATACGCTGAAAACAAAACATCAGAAAAGAAAAAATAAAGAAAACTATCCCATTCATAATAGCACCAAAAAACAATGAAATACTTAGAAATAAATTTAACCAAAGAAATGAAAAGATCTGGGCAATGAAAACCACAAGACTTTGATGAGAGACATGGGAGAGGACCCCTTCAAACTTATTTAAAAGGCAATCCTAATTTGTTAAGACCATCAGCAAAAAGAAAAAACAGAAAAAAGAATGGAAAATACTAATTCATACGTTGATTTAAGATGAGAAGCAGTTGTATTCCAAGTTAATTTTACCATGAGGGTCACCTTGAGAATTTTTCCCAAGTCGTAGGGGCTAAAACAATAAGGAACTACATGAGCTCCCGGGGTTGGGAGGATGACGGGGGCCACCCCACAACTGCCTCTCTAGCAAGATGTGGTTTCTGGCAGGTTCCGCCTCGTTCCCTTTCTGACTGAGCTGAGGGCTGTGATGGACTGGGTGTGGACAGACACGACCTTGAGCCTCTCCAGCTGGATCTGTGTGGAGGACATCTACGCTCACATATTCATCCTGAAGTGTTGGCGGGAGTCTGAAAAAGTAAGCCAATAAAAATGCCTTACCCCTTTTCGTTTCCCTCCCATCTAGGCTGGGTATAAGATTCATGTGAATCTCTGCAAGCTTTGTGGCCAAATACGTGGAGGCAGGGGGCAAAAATGGTGAGGACCTGTGACTGTCCCATTGGTTTCCACCCCGGTGGACTTGGGAATTTTGGACTCACTGCTGCCTTAGTCAGCAATGGCATCCAGATGTGTTCTTCTTTTGGCCAGCCTATATTGTAGTTATTTTTAAAAGAAGAAATGTTATATTGCTCTGTGACCCCATAATTCTTAAATGGCTCATTTGGGAGCAGAAGGGAATGTGGTAGTATGGAGAAAAGTGGGGTCAGGTGGCTTGGACTCAGGCTCACCCTCTGATTCACTCTTTGATGAGCGACGGGACAATATAACTTCCTTGTGCAAAGGAAATCGAAGTGCAAATATTTGCTTATTCTGTTAGGTTGAATATTGAAGTTTGAATACGGTTACAATTACTGTTATTTATTGGATTTTTTGCAAAAGCTTAACGTCGGAAACAGGAGTCATAACAGCAGTGGCAATGGCTCAACAAGCATTGGCTGAGGTGGTAGAAAGTATCCCTTTTTTGTTTCTCTTCTTGATAATACCCTCCTTGAAAAAGTTCCCTCCAGTGTATATAATTTCTAGTATGTTCTGCTGCTGCTTCTTGGAGTTCCAGTTTCATAATCACGGGTCCCACTGACCTGCGGCTCCTGTATCTGTGGGGTTTGTGAGAGTAAAGGAGACAGGGCTGGCAGTAAACTTAAAATCTGCTCGCTTGTCCTCATTCGTAAGGAGCAGAAAAGCTGATAAAATGACAGAATATGGCAGATGTTCTACCAAAGGGACTTTGAAGGTAACAGTCATGGCAATAAAGCATCCAGAAATCGTGACCAATGAAGAAAAGCGGGAAGAACCAAGAATTGTTCTGTCGGAAGTAGAAAAACAAACGGAAGGAGGCGAAGACAATAGCCGCTTTTAACTATTTGAGATAGTGGGAAATAGGGGGAAAGTTTGAATTTGTCTAAAGACGCAAGATAACAGAGTTGAGACAGGTTGGCAAAAGCTCTAGTAAGCTTCAGTGGCATCTGACGAACTTCCTAACAGTCGAAGCTACCCCATCACAGACTGGCTGCCTCAGGAGGTGGCTGCTGCCCAGAGGTGTCCACATCTACACCATCACACAGAGGAGAATTTACATCCTGAAACCTCTGTGCTGGGAAGCGTGGGTCCTAGATCTATTCATTCAGCAGTTTATCATATCAGTTGTCTATTGCTGCTTATCAAACTACATCAAACTTAGTGGTTTAAAAATAACCACCGTTTTGGGGGCACTTGGGTGGCTCAGTTGGTTGAGCCTCTGACTT